CACCGCCTTGGTCACCCCTCTCTGCTTCGGCTCAGAGGCATGGCCTCCCGTCTTCTTGTGTCTGATCTCCCCCGGTCCCTCCCTCCCCTTCCTCAGGGCCCTGGCCCTTCCTGTGTCCCCTGTGTCGAGGGGCGCCATCGTGCAGCCCCTTGTCAGAGGTCCACTGGTGATCCCTGATCGATCCTAGGGAAGGGTTACAGGCACATTTGCCTGGGGGGTTATGGGCGCACTGACCCGCTACTGAAACAAGCCCTTTTATCCCAATGGTCTAGTGGTTGGGATTCTGAGATGGTGTCAGAGCGAAGGTCTCGGGTTCGAATTCCGGTGTATGCACTTCGGGCATCCCAGTGCGGGGGGGTGTCAGAGGTCCACTGGTGATCCCCGATTGATCCTAGGGAAGGATTACAGGCACATTTGCCTGGGGGGTTATGGGCGCACTGACCCGCTACTGAAACAAGCCCTTTTATCCCAATGGTCTAGTGGTTGGGATTCTGAGACCCCTCACTCCTCCCAGTTTCCTTCAACAGAGGCCCCGTTGCAGACGCTTCACATGGACGTGTGGGGCAAAGCCCGCGTCCGTGGACAGGGTCACGGGCGCTACTTCCTGCTTGTTGTTGACGACTACTCGCGTTACACCACAGTCTTCCCCTTGCGCAGCAAGGGTGATGTCACTGAGGTGCTGATCGACTGGATCCGCGCAGCTCGTCTCCAGCTCAGGCAGAGCTTTGGCTCGGACTTTCCTGTTCTGCGTCTGCACTCGGACAGAGGCGGAGAGTTCTCCTCTGGCCTTCTGCGAGCCTACTGTCGTGCGCGAGGCATCCGTCAGACCTTCACGCTTCCGGACTCACCGCAGCAAAATGGGATTGCAGAGCACCGCATTGGCATGGTCATGGACGTCGCTCGTACGTCTATGATGCATGCGGCTGCCCCCCATTTTCTGTGGCCGTTTGCGGTTCAGTACCCGGCGCACCAGATCAACCTTCACCCCAGGGTCTCCAGACCGGAGACCTCCCCAGCCCTGTTGTGGACGGGGAAGGTTGGCGATGCATCGGCGTTCCGGGTCTGGGGATCTCGGGCGTTTGTCCGCGACTTATCTGCGGACAAGCTGTCCTCTCGCGCTGCTCCTTGCGTCTTCCTGGGGTTCCCCCCCGACGCACCTGGGTGGCAGTTTTACCACCCCACCTCTCGCCGTGTTCTGTCCTCCCAGGACGTCACGTTCGACGAGTCGGTCCCCTACTAACGCCTCTTCCCCTACCGCACTCCGTCCCTCCCCCCGCCCCCGCTCTTCCTGGTACCAGGTCCCCCCCCGGTAGACCCCCTTCCCCCTCAGGCTCCTGCCCCTTCAGGTGTGTCCCAGGTAGACGCGGTCGAGCATGTCGAGGTCACTGGTGACTTTGGTGCTGCTGCGGGTGCTGAGCCTGGGGGTGCTGAGCCTAGGGGTGCTGCGACTGGGGGTGCTGAGCCTGGGGGTGCTACGCCTGGGGGTGCTGAGACTGGGGGTGCTGAGACTGGAGGTTCTCCGGGTGCTTCGTCTCGCTGGGAGCCACTCTCTCCACAGGAGCTGCGCGAGTGGTTCGCCCGGCGCTGGAGCCTTGCTGCTGGTGCTGGAGGTTCGTCGGCTACTGAGGGTGCTGCTGTCGCGGGTCCCGGAGGTGCTCGTCCTGGGAGTACTGGAGCTGCTGGGCCAACACGTTCGACTGGAGCTGGTACTGCTGAGGGTGTTGGCGCCGAGACTACCACTGGCGGTCCTGCTGGGGGTGCTCCTGCTGCTGCTGGAGGTTCTGTCCCAGCTGTTCCTGGCGTCGCCACGCGGCCTCGACCGTACTTCGTTCCACTCCTACAGCAGGTTCTTGGTCTCCCCCCTTCTACTGGTCCTCCTCCTCCTACTTTAGAGGGTCCACAGCCTGTCCAGTCACAGTCACAGCTACAGCCTGCCTCCCCTTTGCCTGCTCCTTCTCCCTACGCTGGTCCTACTGGAGGTCTTACTGAGCGTCGTGAGCCTGCGTCTCGTCCTGCGTCGCCTGTTCGTGCTGCGCGCGCTAGTGGTCGCAGTTCGCGTCAGCGTCCTCCTACTGTCCCTGGCACGCACCGGATGTCACTGCGTCCGTCTACTGCTCCTCTGCGTGCCCCTTTGCCTTCTCCTCCTGAGTCCTCTCTTCCTGCTCTTGCCGACCCGGAGTCGGACTCTCTTCGTGCTGCCAGTCCTACTGTCACGCGTCTTCTTGCAACTGTCGTCACTGACCCTTCTTTCGAGTCTACTGCTGCGTCTGCACTTGTCACTGAGCTCGTCGACTTTGCTGCTCGCTGTTGTCTAGACTACGCTGCTAGTCTTGTCGCTGAGTCTGAGTCTGCCTGTCCTCCGTCCGTCGGGGGTGAGTGTGCCCTTGGCACGGACGTCCTTGAGGTTAGGCAGGAGGAGTTCCAGTGTCTGGCCACTACTTCACCTCACCTCGTGTCCGTACTGCTTACCCCTGAGGGAGACCCGGATGCACTTGACATCCCGACTCCGCGCTCTTACGCGGAGGCGAAAGAGGGTCCCTACTCCTCTTAGTGGCAGGCAGCTATGGATGCAGAGATGGCTTCCTGGAAGTCCACAGGCACCTACGTTGACGCTGTCCCCCCTCCTGGGGCGAACATCGTCAGTGGCATGTGGATCTTCAGGGTGAAGCGGCCGCCGGAGTCTCCGCCTGTCTTCAAGGCGCGTTACGTGGCTCGTGGCTTCAGTCAGCGGCAGGGAGTTGACTACTTTCAGACCTTCTCCCCTACCCCGAAGATGACCACTCTTCGGGTACTGCTGCACATTGCTGCTCACCGTGACTACGAGCTGCACTCTCTCGACTTCAGCACTGCTTTCTTGCAGGGCAGCTTGCACGAGGAGATCTGGCTGCGCCGCCCACCTGGCTTCACCGGGTCTTTCCCTCCTGGTACCCAGTGGAGTCTCCGGCGTCCAGTCTACGGTCTTCGCCAGGCGCCGCGTGAGTGGCACGACACACTGAGGACTACGCTGGCGGCACTTGGGTTTGCTCCTTCTACTGCCGACCCGTCGCTGATTCTGCGCACCGACACCTCTCTGCCGCCGTTCTACATCCTCGTGTACGTCGACGACTTGGTCTTTGCCACAGCTGACACTGCTGGACTTGCCTACGTGAAGTCCGAGCTGCAGAAGAGACACACGTGCACTGACCTGGGTGAACTGCGCAGCTACCTTGGCTTGCAGATCACCCGGGACAGAGCACGCCGCACCATTACCCTGACTCAGTCACACATGGTGCAGCAGGTCCTTCAGCGCTTCGGCTTCACGTACTCCTCGCCTCAGGCCACTCCTCTGCCTACTCGCCACTCGCTCTCAGCTCTGCCTTCGGATGAGTCCGTAGAGTCGAGTGGCTCGTATCCAGAGCTTGTTGGCTGCCTCATGTACTTGATGACATGCACACGACCTGACCTTGCATACCCTCTTAGCATTCTTGCACGCTATGTTGCTCCTGGGAGACACCGACCAGAGCACATGGCTGCAGCGAAGAGGGTGTTGCGCTACTTGTGTAGTACGTCGGGCATGGGGCTAGTGCTTGGAGGGCGGAGTCCAGTGGTCCTTACTGGGCACGCGGACGCCTCTTGGGCTGACGACCAGGCTACGCAGCGGTCGTCACAGGGTTACACCTTCAGTCTTGGTTCCGGCTCTGTTTCGTGGCGGGCTACCCGCTCGTCTTCTGTTCTCGGCTCCAGTTGTGAGGCTGAGATCTACGCCAGGGCTATGGCTGCCCAGGAGCTTCGCTGGCTCACCTACCTGCTGACCGACCTTGGAGAGCCGCCTCGTTCTCCTCCAGTTGTGTACGTAGACAACAAGGCCATGCTGGCCTTGTGTCGAGAGCAGCGACTGGAGCACAGGACAAAGCACATTGCTCTCCGCTACTTTCTTGCCCGTGAGCTACAGCAGCGTGGACAGTTGCGGCTTGCGTACGTGGCCTCTGAGGCCAACACTGCTGATGTCTTCACCAAGGCGCTTGCGCCTTGTGATCATCAGCGCTTCTGCACTCAGCTGGGTCTTGTGCCCGTCTTGCCTCACTTGCTCACTTCTTGACCTTGCTTGTACTGTGACATATATATACTCCTGCTCTTGCTTGCTTAGCCTCGTATATATATATATATATATATATATATATATATATATATATATATATATATATATATATATATGTGTGTGTGTGTGTGTGTGTGTGCTCTTGCATGTGAACTGGCCTTTTGGCCTTTGAACTTGTGCTCGGAATGTGTGGTGACTTTGTGATCCACCCTGAGTTTTGCTTTGCTTTGCTTGACTGGTCTTGTGACCCCTTGTTCTCCCCCACTTTGCCTATGGGGGTGTGTCAGAATGTATAGCTTATGCTTTTGTGTAGGCTATAGTGGGGTATCCCATAGGGGGTACAACCCAATTAGGGTTTCATATTTGTACTCACTTCATTCATAGTTGATTCATTCTCGTTCTCATTTTCACAGTTTGGTAATCGGGGTCACGGATTCAGTCACTAACAATAGGTGAAAAATTATGCGAATGGTCACACAAGTAAGGGTACATTCCTGCGGGGACACTTATGTCTCAATCCCCGTTTTCCCGAGTCGCGTGTGTAAATTTGCAAAATGTTGTGTCACAAACAACCAATGTATCGCGACCCTGCGCGACAGATGGGCAAGGCCAGGTGGGTGCGTACTACTGGTTGCGACCCTTTGGATTGTGCCCACCAAGTTTTCCCGCCGGTCAGCGTGCCTAAACATATCACACCTCCGCGTTCATCAGGGAGGGTGTGCCTGTGCAATGGAAGTTGCAATTTGGAAGAGGCGGGTCTTGCCCAGAACACCCCACGCACATCAGCTTGTACACAACTACTACTCCAAGTACAAAAACACATCTATCACAGGCCTAAACTGCACCACTGTCTAGCAGCCATGGCCTCGCCCCGCGAGGTGCCATTCCTCATGCGACTGCTCGTACCTTGGGTTACATTCTACTACGGCATTTTCATGGACGCCGTCGCCAAGTCGGTCGTTGGCTTGCTGGAGGCGAACGTGTTCAACGACGAGGTGTCCTCGTCATCCAGCTCTACCGGCTCCAACCGTACCGCCGAGCGGAAGAGAAGGGCTGCGCTACGCCGGCGGAGATACCATCTGCTGTTGGAGGACCTGGAAGGAATGGGGGAGGATCAATTCAGGGACTTGTTTCGCATAAACCGAGGTATTCTCGACTACATAGTCGCCGGGATGGCGCACTACATGCAGCCGTATGTGGACAGGTACCTCATCAGTCACGAAGTGGCATGCCTGGTCCCTATCAAATACCTGGCCAGTGGCATGTCGTTCGTAGACTTGTCCTCCGTGTTAGGACTGTCCAAGACTCTCTGCCACATGCTTGTTGACGCGCTCCTCATGCATTTCCCGTCCGTCTTCAAGCAGCAGTGGGTCCACTTCTCGACCCGTGACGACCTCGACGAGATGGCCGAGGAGTTCCGCGCCATCAAGGGGGTACCCGCGGTAGTGGGGGCTATAGACGGCACACACATTCCCATGAAGGGGATGGTGGGGCACAGGCAAGAGTACTACACGCGGAAGTCATGTTACGCCGTCCAGTTGTAGCTCACATGCGACGCGCGAGGCATCATATGGGACTACTTGATCGGATACCCGGGCAGTGCGCACGATCAGAGAGTGTCCATGAACAGCGCGTTACACGAAAGGTTGCACAACGGCGACATAGCGCCATACCAAATAGTGGGAGATGCTGCCTACCCACTCAGGAACTTCTGCCTGACCCCCCTACATGCACCCCGTGAAGGACTAATGGAGTACTGGGAGCAGTGCTTTAACTACTGCCAAAGCGCGACGCGCATGGCAGTAGAACGCTGCATCGGCGCCTTCAAAGGACGGTGGCGTCTATTCGCGGGCCGCAATGACTGCAAGCTCTGGCGCATCCTTGCAGGGGCGTCTTGTGGCGTCATCCTGCACAACATGTGCGAAACGATGGGTCGAGTGAGGCGCGTGAATGCATCGTGGGCAAATTTGCCCCGAAATCGGGACCCATGGTGGACTCGTGGGGCGGTAGCGGGGTTCAAGTGGGAGCCATGTGACCCGTGCACGCAAGGGAATCTGCGGGAAAGGCGCAAGCGGCTGGGTGAGGCTCTGGAGTCGTCTTACCTCACTCGGCGGCGCCGCGAACCCACACCTCCTCACCCGCATCAGGGTTAGAGGTGTCTTCGCCCGTCTGCCTGCGACGGAGCCAGCCGTCGTCGCCGCCTTCGGCGGCGTCTGCTGCGGTCATGTTGTCCGCGTGGGCTGGGATGTTGTCGCCAGCCGGCAGGGGGGGGGGGGGGGGGGGGGGGGGGGCGGGCTGCTGCACGCGTTCGCAGGCAATACGCGCGTCCTGCTCCATCCACGCGCGGACAAGGCCTTCGAGCGTGCTCATGGCGTCAGAGTGGCAGCCTTTGATTGTCTCGCACACCATCTTGGCAGCGGCCCTTGTTGCCGTCTCTGCCACGCGTGGGCGCTTCGACGTGGGAGTACCCTGCGGAGGTGGAGCTGCACACACGGTGGCCGCACGCAAGCATTAGAAGATGTGCTGTGTATTGTACTAAAATTTGATAGTCAAAGGTGAGCAATGAAATGTCAATCATAAAACGCACTACAAGTATCATTGCACCAAAAGAAACGTACCAGTGAATGTCGGCGTAGAGTTGGAGGGTGCCGAAGTGGACGGAACCGCGAACCCGCACGGCACGTTGACGTGTGCCGCACCTCCATCGTCGACAGCGTGAGGGTTGCCGACCGCCTTGTTGTTCTGGAAGAGAGCCATGTACGGGTACCAGTGGGGCTTGCACACGGCACCCTTGCCGCTCGCCTTCTCCCCCTTCTTGATCTGCTTGTACATGTTGACGAGATTGCGCCACTGCTTCTGAAGCGCGTTCACGCCGCGCACCCACCCGGGATTCTCCAGCTCGAGATGGTGCGCGAGGCGGGCCCAGTACTGAGCGCCCTGCTTCCCGAGGAGGGGGCCGAGCTCGTCCGTCATGAACCAACGTGCAGCCACGAAGATCGTGTTCTCGCGGGGGGACCACGCGCTTCGCTTAACAGGATGCAGGTTGCGAGTAGTGGCAGCCGCACGCGGAGGTTCCCCGCCCTTCGCAGCAGTCTTGGTTCCCGCAGCGGCAGAGGCACGGCCACGACGGGGAGCCGGGGTCGCAGGCTGGGCCTCCTCGGGAGCGTCTTCGTCTTCATCGACGTCCTCATCGGCGTCAACTTCATCCTCGGAGGGGGACATGCCCTTGTCCTCCTCCTCGCCAGAGTCCGCGTCGTCGTCGCAGGCGTCGTCGCACTCGTTGTAATCAGAGTCGGCGGCGTCATCGTCGTCAGCGAAGGCAGCATCGTCGTTGACGCGGGATGAGGCAACACGGCCGGCATGACGGCGTCCGCGGGTAGGGACATCGCGCGGGGCCTTGAACGAGGTGTCTCCCACACCAGGCGCTCCTTCCGGCAAAGGTCCGGCGGGCTTGTGGCCGGCAGCGATCTGCTTGTTCATCCAGGCGATGTACGGGATCTCGTTGAGATCTCGCGCGCACAAGTCAGCAGTACTAGCTACGCATTGAGAAAGCTTGCTTTCTTATTCTTATCAATTGGCATCGTTCTCATTACAAATGGCTTATTACAACATTTGCATCAACGTTGAACACAAGCTGGTGCAATCGAATAACACTAGCTAAGATGTACCCTATCCAAGTGGCATTAGCAAGGCGGTTTACTCTGGGGTGGGTGGTGGGAGTGTTGAGTGAGCCGTTTGAAAATCGAGAAACGTGGGTGGAGGGAAATGAACTCCAACCCACGGTTTTTGTAGTTGGAGAAGGGCGTTTAGCGCGCTTCGACGATGCCAATTGTGCAGTACAAACAGCTTCGCTTTCACAATACACAATTAAAAAAAACACAATGTGTGTTTTGACAAAATTAGAAGAAAGAAAGGGGATTGAACTAGCAAGAATGAGGATACAAATAGCAAACCCTAGAAGGGTTGTACTCGCTATAGAGCACCCCACTACAGGCTAGAACATAAGATAATATTCTGACACACCCCCATAGCCAAAGTGGGGTGTAATCAGCAGAGCAGGCAAAGCAGTACAAGCTCAGGGTGGATCACAATGTCACCACACAATCTGAGCACAAGTTCAAGAAGAAATAGTTTAGAGTTCACAATTATGAGCAAAGCTAGTGGTAGTCACAACGGGCAAGTGAGGAGGAGGAGAGAGAGTGAGGGGAGAGGAGATAGGAGGCGACGGCTGAAGCTGCAGACACACGGGCAACAGGAGGCAGACTGGCACAGCGGCTACCGGACTAAGCGCCCGGACTACAGGAGTAACAGGCCCCGCGGCTAAAGTAGCGGCAGACGAGCAACGGACCCACGGGCGGCTGGCGTAGAAGTCTAGCTCACTGGGCTACCGGGACAGCGCCCCGGACTACAGGTGCTGCGGACAATAGTACGGCAACCTCCATGCAGCTTCCCCAAACAGTCCCACCCCCCCTACACGCACCCGCTGCTACACCGCTAGCTCCACTCCCACGCACCCCCCTTAAACCCTAAACCCCAGTCTCCCACACAACCACCCCCCTCAGCGACAGCTGCAGCAGTGGGAGACGAAGGAGGAGGAGGAGCAAAGGGAGGAAGGCACACCGACCACCCCCATACCCGACACCCCACCGCAAGCGGCCCCCTCAGGTCGCCTCGACAGGCGACGGGAAAAGGGGGGGGGGGAGGCGGGGACGGGGCCGGGGCCGCGACGGGTAGGGCGACGGGCCGCATGTAGTGCGGCGGTAGGGCCGCAGGTAGGGCGGCTGGTGGGCCGCAGGTAGGGCGGCGAGTGGCCGCAGGTAGGGCGGCTCGCGGGCCGCAGGTAGGGCGGCGGGTGGGCCGCGAAGGTAGGGCGACGGGTGGCCGCAGGTAGGGCGGCGGGTGGGCCGCGAAGGTAGGGCGGCGGGTGGCCGCGAAGGTAGGGCGGCGGGTGGGCCGCGAAGGTAGGGCGGCGGGCGGCCGCGACGGGTCGGGCAGCGGGGCCGCGACGGGTCCCCGTCGCCCGTCGCGGCGCCTCCAGAAGGCGACGCGACGAACGACGGGGCAGACGCCCGCCGCGCGCCTCGGGGCGCACAGCGGGCAGAGAACCGCCGCGCGCCTCGGGGCGCACGGCGGGCAGAAAACCGCCGCGCGCCTCGGGGCGCACGGCGGGAAGGAAAAGTAGCAGCGGAAGCGAGGTGGTAACCCACCCACAGGATCGATCCAAGGGGATCGACCTGCTCTGATAGCATGACAAAATTAGAAGAAAGAAAAAAGGGATTGAACTAGCAAGAATGAGGATACAAATAGCAAACCCTAGAAGGGTTGTACTCGCTATAGAGCACCCCACTACAGGCTAGAACATAAGATAATATTCTGACATGTTTAAAAATAATAAATTTTGCGCTTACGGGCCATGGCTACGGCGTGGAAGAGGACGGTGGCTAGGACTACGCAACAAGAAAGAGAGCTGGGGTTTGGAGAAGAAGAATAGATTGGAGTGGGAGAGTGCTGTCCGCGTGGTTGGAACGGTGGGCACAGTCGGGCAGGGATGTGACCGTGTGGACTGAAGGACCAGTCATCTGTCAGCCCGGGCAGAGCGGTTTCCTTTCCCGCGCTGAAACGTGCACGATTCGGGCGTCCACGTGCATGCTGTACATTGTGAGATTTCGACACGCGTGCGATTTTCGGGAGGTGACGGGGCCTCGTGTAACTCGTCCGTGACACCCGCGCATTTCACGCCAACCAATGTAAAATACAGTGGGAATCGAATTAGCGCGATCCGCGTTTGTGACATGGCACAGTATATGCTGTTTTTAGATGTCACAAAGTGATTGAGACACAAGTGTCCCCGCAGGAATGTACCTGTCAGAACATATATGTAGCTTATGCTGTTGTGTAGGCTACAGTGGGGTATCCCATAGGGGGTACAACCCAATTAGGGTTTTGCTATTTGTACCCAACTCTTTCATAGTGCATTCATTCTCGTTCTATTTTCCACATGGTATCGAGCAGGTTCCCCCGTGGGAACTGTGCTTAGGGCCCACCACTTTTAAACTTTTTTTCTGCCCGGAGCGCGCTCTGGGCCCTCACTCTCACTCTTTCGGCCTGCCCTGCGGCCCCCTAGCCGCCCGCGCGCGCCCGTTCAGGCCCCTAGCCGCCCGCGCGCCGCCCGTCCCGGCCCTTAGCCGCCCGCGCGCCGCCCGTCCCGGCCCCTAGCCGCTCGCGCGCCGCCCGTTCAGGCCCCTAGCCGCCCGCGCGCCGCCCGTCCCGGCCCCTAGCCGCTCGCGCGCCACCCGTTCAGGCCCCTAGCCGCCCGCGCGCCGCCCGTCCCGGCCCCTAGCCACCCGCGCGCGCCCGTCCCGGCCCCTAGCCACCCGCGCGCGCCCGTCCTGGCCCCTCACCGCCCGCGCGCCGCCTGACCCGGCCCCAAGCCGCCCTGTGCCGCCCGCCCCGGCCGCGCTCTCCTGTCTCGGCCCCTCGGCGCCAGGACGCCACCCGTCCTGGCCCCTCACCCGTCCCGGCCTCACACCGCCCGTGCGCCGCCCGTCCCTGCTGCACGCCGCCGTCCCGGCCCCCCACGCCGCCCGTTAGCCGCCGTGCAGCCTGAGCCGCCCGAGCCGTCTGCGCAGCTGAGGAGCCGAGCCGCCCGAGCCGCCTGTGCCGCTGACTGCCCGAGCTGCCCGAGCCGCCTGAGCCGCCCGAGCCGCCCGAGCCGCCCGAGCCGCCTCCCCCCCCCCCCCCCCCCCCCCCCCCCCCCCCCCCCCCCCCCCCCTTTTCCCGTCGCCTGTCGAGGCGACCTCAGGTCGCCTCGACAGGCGACGGGAGAGGCCAGCTGAGGGGTGGCAGGTGTGTGGTCTCCCCTGCTTCTCCTCCTCCTTCGTCTCGAGCCGCCCTGCAGCCGAGCCGCCTAGCCGCCGAGCCGCTCTACACCCGAGCCTCCCAGCAGCCGCGCCGCCCTGCAGCCGAGCCGCTCTACACCCGAGCCTCCCAGCAGCCGAGCCGCCCTACAGCCGCGCCGCCGGGTCGCCGAGCTGCCGAGCTGCAGTTGCTGCCGAGCCGCCCTGCCGCCGAGCCGCCCGAGTCGCCCGAGCCGCAGAGCCGCCGTGCTGCCGAGCCGCTGAGTCGCCGAGCCTACTCTACCCACCACTGGTGAGCCCCTGCCCTGCTAGCACGCTGCGCGTCGCCTGCTTGCCTGCCTGCCTCCCTTTTTGGCTTGCCTGGCTGCCTGCCTTACTACTGCTACTCCTGCTCCTGCCTCTACTGGTGGAGCCAGATGCAGCCCCATCGACGTCTGCGTGAGTCCCTCACGCCCCAGCAGCTGCGTGAGTGGTACGCTGGTTGGGGCTGTAGGGGTGGTGGCGCTACTACTGCTACCACTCCTGCTGCTTCTACTACTGGTGGCGGCCAGATGCAGCTCCCGCGACCCCCCCGCGCGTCTCTCACGCCTCAGCAGCTTCGTGAGTGGTACGCTCAGAGTAGAGGGTCTCTCAGTTCTGTTCGCTGCTCTTACGTGATTCTCACTGGTGCTCGGACTGGTCAGCCTTGTGGGACACCTGGTCATACACAGTCCCGCTGCTTCGCCCGTCTGAGCGACGCCTGGCGTACCGTGTTTGGCGACGAGGCTGAGCTCCCCGACTGGGTGGAGTTGCTTAGGCAGAGGGTAGATATATTTTCTCTTGACTATGATGCTATTCTCACTGCCATGTATGCATTGCCTACTAGTGCTGAACGTGCCGGTCACCTGTGCGTCCCGCCTGACCCGGGTATATGACCTACTGCTCTAGCTACTGGTGAGGCTGCTGCTGCTCTGGGTGCTAGTGAGTCTCCTGCTCCAGGTACAGGTGCGGCTGCTGCTCTAGGTGCTAGTGAGTCTGCTTCCTCAGGTGCGGGTGAGGCTGCGCTCTCAGGTACCGCGTTGGCTTCGGCCTCCCTCACCTTTACACTTGACTCTGGGGCTTCTCGCTCCTTCTTTCGGGACCGCACCACACTCACGCCGCTTGGTCGACCGGTTGCAGTCTCCCTGGCTGACCCCTCTGGGGGTCCTGTCCTCGCTCACTTCTCCACTGTCCTCCCGTGTCCGGCTGCCCCCTCGGGCACCCTGTCTGGCCTGTACCTCCCCTCGTTCTCGACGAACTTGGTGAGTGGTGCAGACCTGCAGGATGCGGGGGTTCACCAGTTCACTCCTGCGAGTCAGCGGGTGACCCACTGCACGGACGCACGCACAGGCCGGCACCTGGCCACGTTCTCGCGTCGGCCGGGGTCGAGCCTCTACACCCTGACCACTGAGTCTCCTCCTGTCCCTGCGTCCGGTCAGGTAGCAGCGTCAGGTTGCTGCTGCGTCCAGGTCTGGTCCTGAGTCTGCCCCCTGTTCGTGTCGCCTCCTGTCTCACGAGACTCTCCTGTGGCACCACCGTCTTGGCCACCCCTCCTTGCCCCGTCTTCGGGGCATGGCTTCCCGTGTCCTTGTCTCTGGTCTTCCC